TAGGGATGCTGCACGGGTCAAATGGTGAGTCTAAGTCCAAATCTGATCCTCCTATATGGGTAGATAGGAGTCGACATGATTCAACCGGCCATGAGGACCGTCAGGATATTAATTTTATACATTTATATTAGACCTTCAAAATCTTCAATAAGTAAAACTCACCAAAAAAGGTCCGAAGCCTATAAGACCCAATCCCTTATTAGCAGTTGATAGGGTCGACAAGATTTAGTTAATGGAAATGATCCCAAACACCCTGATGATGGCCATGTTTAATGTAAATCTCGACTAGAGGGGTTAACTCCAACATTTCAAAATGCTCTTGAACATAGATATTTTTAAGTGATCTTGAAGTCACCACGATGATGGTCATGTTCAATACAGATCTCAACAAGAGGAGTTAATTTTAGATATTTCAAAATGCCCTTAAATTTTCTTTAAACTTCAAATATTTTCAAGTGACTTTAAAGTCACCATGATGATGGCCGTATTGAATAAGTATCACAACTGAAGGGGTTCACAAATATTTTTAATTCCCACTCAAATGCCCAAAAATCCAAAATCATAAAGATTATCTAAACTTAGAATATTTAAAATTAAAATAATCCATCCAACCACTTAAAGAAAAATTCATCCACCTTTCGCAATAGTTTGCTAGGATGGACAATCTGAAGTTTTACTTCAGCTCATATAGAGCTAATGCCTAGGAAAAAACATCACTATAATCCATTCTCAAATAATTTCCTGGCAATAAGGATGTGGTACGTGTCCTCTGACCAGTAGTTTTGCAGCCAAATGAAATCATATAATAAATTTTTATGACGAGTCCCTCTGAACTGAATGGGTTTTCTGCCAAATAGCACCACAAAATACCGGTTATGGATAGATCTAGTTTGTTTCTTAGTAGCATAAAATCCTTAAGATATGAATCAATAGGATATGATCGATAGGGCACAAATCCCTCTGTTAGCTAAGATGGATTCAAATTTGTCCCCTTAAACAAACATTCACCCAATATCTATAAGGTACCCTTAGACGAAGCAACCCATGGCTACCATTAAGGATACTTCTGTCAGGTTGGGTCGACTACCTCCTCTGACTAAGTAGACCAAGGACCACGATGGCCTGGGATGACGGAACCACGGGATCTTGATCGAGTCCATCATATATTCTCCCACCATCTGCTTTAAGTGCAACATGGTAAAATTTTCAATTTTAAATATCAAATTTCTACCTAAGCCCATGCTGCTACTATATGCCAGATAACACGTATCTTGATGTATCTGATTGACAACTAGCCTTAATTGAAAGTTCTCTCTTGTTATCGAGAGGGGTAATTAACTATAGGGGCTTGCACCTATAGGAAACTAGAACTCAGATCATAAAGTCCTCATAAAATAAGGGTGAAATATCGAGGTAGTGTCTTATCTACAAAATCATATGCCTTTCTAAACTATACCCTAGAACTTAATTAGTTAAAACTCCCCCGAAGAAAAGAAAAGTACAACAGACAGAGGCCGGTGCCAAATTTTTAGAGCCCACAAAAAAAAGAATTTCATAAAATAAATAGCACAAAAACAACCAACAACTCAATGTAATAAAGGAAACATCATCAATAGGAGAACTCTCATGGGGAGTTTTTGTTAATATAGAATAAACTTACTCTATGCACAAAAAAGACAAATAAGATAAGTGTTAACTGTATTGCAACTAAAGGATTTGGATTCTAGAGTTTGCACATCCAGCATACCATCATTACAAGCTAAAGTCCTTTGTTTAAAAAAAATCTAATTCAAGAATTATAATTAGATAGGGAAACTAAACCTTTTCAGACTACTAGCATAAAATACATCAAATATATTATTACTATAAAAGTGATGAATAAAGAATCAAGATTTTCCATAATCAAGTATTAAACATATTATGAAATATAGGGATTTTCTAAGACTTAAAGATTTACTATAAAGAGAAGCTATTTTAAATTGGGCTTATTTTGAGCATCTTTTATTAGTTTTATGAGTACATTATGCATATTGTATTTTTGATATACTTATTGCATCTTTTACTTTTGGCGTCATTGCGTATCTTTTGATTTTGGGCTAATTTTATGCCTCTGAATTTTTACAAATTGCTTCCTTTCTAAATCTTTAAGAATCTTAGCTGTAAGATTATCTTAGAGATTGAAGAGAAGAAATACTCACTATCTTATGTAGGGAGGAATAATCTACAAGGCAAAATCGAGTTCTCTAATAAGAATAAAAACCTGATGTAGTGAAATAATGAATTTCATTCGCCAAGTTATGGAAAATACCCAAGATATCAAAACATTTAGCAAAATGAATAAGTTTTCATTTCAACCATCTTAATTCCAATTTGATTCAGATTTTTAACTAAATAGAAGGGATTTTATGCAAAGGAAATAAGATGGGATATGAAAATTCATAAAATTCATTTATCCTTTGAGTTTGAACACTACCAACAGTTACTTATTTAAACTTTTAAGTCATAATAGAAGTATGTTTATTTCAAATAATAAATAGCATGGAAGAGAGTTCATTCATACAGTTTGATTCAAGCCGTACAGCACAAGTTTAATGGTATAGTATGAGTTAAATCATACAGTACGATTTTAGTCATCTAGTATGAATTAATTCGTACAGTACGATTAACAAAAACATCAACTTACTAGACTGAAAATTTTTTCAAGCAAAGAGCACATAAAACTTAACATTAAAAGAGTTATAAGAACCACTTCAATTTTTTTTAAGAGATGCATTGAAATAAAAAATAAGAATTAAAAAAAAACTCTTAATAAGGATTGAAAGGAAATTTCATTACAAAAACTAGTTGAAAATATACAAACATAGAAAAATAAAAATACATCGCAATAAAAATTAAATAAAACTAGTATAGAGATGGATCCTAATCAGAAGGTGGAGGTGGAGGTGGTTAGAAGAAATGGCTAAAACTATCATACTGCTACTGGATGGTGGTGAACTAGTGTTGAATATTTCCAAATTGCTCCCTGAACCAACCCATATCACTATCATGTTTGATTTATTATTGATCCAAGCAACTATCAAGTCTATCAACTCTCTGAATCAACTCCTCATATTGTTAGTGGTGAGGAGGTGGTGCAAGATCAGCTGCAGGGGAAACTTCTCCTTCTTCATCAAAGAGAGGATCTTTAGGCTCCTAATCCCAATGAAAAAGCATCCGAAAAGAGGCATCTAAAAAGAAGGTGGGAGTGTGATCAGGAGGAGCAGGATATATGATATTATTCTTTCTTTTCACGATATATCCAATCACATGTCCTAACGCGATGTTCTTCTTTCTCGTAGTGGCTGGGAGTCGAATGGAAGTGAGGTTTTGGATGTAATCAATTAGCATTTGAACTTCATCCATTTGGGTATTTGACATGATGAAATAGGTGATAATTGATAGCAAGGGAGTCATATTTATCCAGCCTCTAACTTTAGGTATGATTGAACTTCTCAGAACGTACCGGATAACCCTGGCACATTGGTTAAGGGTCTGAACTAAAGGTTGGTGGTAATTGAGGGAAGTATTTCTTAACTAAAGGTTCACAGCACTCCAGTCAAAATTAGATCTAGAGGCCATGACAAGGGGTCTATTTCCTTGGATGTTTAGATGAAGGTGAATTCCTATATCCTCCTTTGTGATTTCTACATTTTAATAACACACTTGGGAAGACATAACCGTAGCATCCCCACTAATCCTAAGGTTTACGAGAAATTCATAAAGGATTTCTGAATAGAAGGGATAGGCCAAAGTTAGAAGAAATTGAAGTGCAGTAGTGTTGAAGAGATTCATTACTTGGAAGCTAAGGGTCTGCTGATTAAGAAGCCTGGAAGGCATGATCTTTGCTTCTTTGTATTTTATGTAGACAACTTCAATGAAGCTATCAGAAAATAATCGTCTGTAATGTTCTAAGAAGACAAAGCCCCCTGGGTTTTTCAACTGTATTTTCCACTAGCCATTGCAAAGATTAGAATGCAAGAAGGCAAGATTTGAAGATTAGTCTGAAAAAAATGCGATTGGCTGCTTAAATAGAAGTTAAATGGATTGTGCCGGTTAATCATGGGATCATACGGGACAATTGAGTGCAATCAATTTGGCCAAACGAGTAGTCAAAAATATGTGTATGATCGTATATGCGATCAAACTTCATACGAGATAATTAGAGAGATCGATCTCGTCCTGAAGAGACAACATGTATGACCTTTGACAAAAAATTTCATACATTACGAATGGGTTTTTGTACATTACGATAAATAATAAATGTTGTACAAACTTAAATTAATCATCTAGATTTCCACGTGTATCGTACATTACGAATTTTGTTCGTACCATATGATTATAAATCATTGATGCAATCTGGACCACCCATTGAGCCAATGGTTAAGATGAAAGTGGTGCTGTGCAGATCATATAATATGATTGTAATTCATATACTACGATATCAGATGAAATTTTCAATTTTGCAAGACAAGATAGTGAAGTGGATTGTGTTGTGATCAGGACACAAACATATAATAAAAGAATAAATAGAAGAACAAAACTAAAACAAAAAAAATAAGTTAAGGACTAAACAAACAAAACAAAATCAAGAAAATTACATGACAACACAAACATAAAAACTAAAAAAAAATGTAAACAGAAACAAGCATAATAAAAATAAACAAAACATATATGTTGAGAAGCTCATGAATGGTTGATTTCAAGTGATAGGATATAAATATCGAGCCTAAAAACCACATGCTCCTACTAAGTCTTTTATGAGAGCCTTTAAATCCATAGATCATGGAAGTAAATATTTTTGGGAGCCCAAGTGAGTTTGGGTCCCTTCTTGAATTTCGATAAATCATCAAAATATATGTCATGCTATATTTGATGGAGCTTTGGTCTCCACACCAAGTGTGTTCTACAATGAATAGTGCAAGTGTGGCTAATGTGTCCTAACATGCCACATTTTTTTTTAGCAGGGGTGCGCCATGCTCACGAAATAGTGCAATGCATGAGCGATGCCTAAGAGGCCCAATAGCAAGCTACTAAGATGAGCTCTTCCCCAACAAAATTAATTTAATTAATATCATAGTGGACCGATGGCCCACATATCATATATTAAACTGATAAGATTAATATATACTACAATTGATCTTAGCCAAAAGGGTTAACTAACCTATGATATTTATGATTCCTATTTCTAGGTTTATGAGATGCATGACATGGTGACTGCTTACAAACAGATATATTTTGAAAAGCCTTTACTTTTTCTTAAAACATTTTATTAGCACTTTCAAGAGCCTTAAAGCAATGATGTCTTTGAGTCTTAAAGCATTGATTTTTATAGAATGTGTTACAAAGAGGGATAGATCTATAATTAATATATATATATATATATATAAAGAGAGAGAGAGAGATCAATCTAGTGAACCATCCAATAGAAACGATTTTGACCAAATGAATAAAAGAAACTCATAGATGACAACAATCACAACTTCATAAAATTAAGAGTAAATGTTCAACAATCACTATTGGATGATTGTTGAGAACTACATAAAGATTAGAGAAAGGTCAAGGTAGTGGTTAAGATATAATGATAGGATGATTGACACTCCCTTTTTTATGTAAGTTTATTCAAGAGTTAGGCACTTTTTTTTTTTCAACTTGCCCAATTTTTTCTATGCCTACTTCAAAGCCTGAAGCTATTTTCCACAAAATGATCTGGTGCCCAATAGGGAGAACCTAATAACTAGTAAAACATGTTAACCTTGAGGAAATTAAAAATAAATAAATGTACCTAATACATTTCCATGTCATCTTAATGGTTTCGTCCACGTTTCCCATATCAAAACTTGCACAACATTGCCTAACTTGTTCTATATGATAGGACAAGACAGATAACAACATATGTACGATATCTTTCATGCTTTTGTAGCCATTAATTTTTTAAGATTTTATTTGTTTTATCAAAATTTTAAATACAATCAAACTGATAATAAATATATCAATTTTCAAAATTCAGTCAATTGATAAAAATAGTTTATCCAAAATCTACAAATATCTTTTTTTAATGTATAAATTCAATATAAAGTACTAAAAAAACAACATAAAGCATTTATCTCAATACATGAAGTCAGCTATATAAATCATTTTTCTCAATTTATTATGTTAAGAATTAAATTCTCATTTAAATCTAATAAAAATATCATTTCTAAAATTTTCCAATAGTCTTTTCTTAGATCTGCCTCTACAAATCTAATACATCTATTCTTCTAACTTGGTTATCGGAAGGTCGACATTATATGTGACCAAACCATCGATTTTAAGCCTACTGAAACAAAAATCTTTAGACTCTAAATTAACCTTCATAATTTAAGTTACTTTCAACTACCTATGGAGTCTTATCAACAAGAAGAATATCATCAACCAAAAAAAATATACACACTACATCATCTTACAAATATCTAGTAATAATATCTCTCACATAGTAAGCCTGAAGAATTACATTATTATAATAAGTCCAAAAAAAAACAAACCCTACCAAATGGTTTGAATAACATAACCAACTAACCATATTTATTTTTATTCATTAAAATGTTAAATGCCTAAGGCCCTAAGCACAATATTCAAAGATTCATATCCTTACTCAAGCCTATGACCTCTAATGGGGCTAGACTAAGGCCCAAGATGGGACAATTTAATCATTTTGCAGAAAATGAAGCATGAAAGAACCATATTTTTAAATGAAATTTAAAACACATGAATGAGAATCTAATCATCGAAATAAAAAAAAGTATTGAATAATTGAAATTTTATCAATGACATAACACCAACGTTTTCATAATCGGATCGGACCGGCCGGTTCAACCGGTTGAACCGCGAACCGATCGGCCGGCCGGTTACGGTTCAAATCAGAACCGGGAAATTCAAAAACCGCTGTTCGACCGCTCGAACCGGCGGTTCGACCGCCAAACCGGCGAACCGGTCCCAGTTTCGAAAAACCGACCGGTTCAGCAGCCGCGCCATTTTAGCGGAGGAACGAAGATCGAATGGCTGAGATGCGCTTCTTTATGCAAAAAAATCAAACCCTATTTCATTTCTCTTGTTTCGACTGCTCGGGTTCTTCATTTCTTCTCTTCCCGACGCTCCTTCTTCACTGTGTCTTGTCGCAAACTCGCAAAGGCAGAAGCCGTCGTCACCGAAGAGGGAGAGCTCGTTCGTGAAGACAGAGGGCAAACAAGCCTTCTATACTGGTTTGTAACTTTGTATCCTTTGTTTCTAATTTAAAAAAAAAAAAAAAAAAAAAAAAAAAAACTCAAAATCACATACATGAATCAATGGCTGTTTTCTTTTTTCATGTATGTTTTTAACTTGATTTTCCTATTCTAAAATGTAATTTCTTTTTCGAATTTCAGTTTGCTAGGCGTATGCTCTTCGGCTTGGAAATCAAACCGAAAACCTGCGGCATTTCTTCTGCTCACTAAGTGACGGTTAGTTCAAATTTTAGTTTACTGTTTGGGTCATTTTCGGATTTTCCTGTCTTAGGGTACTTTTAATGCATGCTATGATATTAGAAAAATGTGTTTTGACCTTCACACAGTGGCTTAAGTCTTTAGAAATTTTCATGGCTTAAGATTTTCCTGTCTTAGGCTTAAGTTTTCAATTTGCTGGGCGTATGCTTCTGAGAAGATGAAGCCCCTAGGTTTGTCGACTGCATTTTCCACCAGCCATTGCAAATATTAGAATGCAAGAAGACAAGATTTGAAGATTAGTGTGAAAATTTGAATAAGATTGGCTGTTTAAATAGAAGTTAAATGGATCGTTCCGGTTAATCATGGGATCATATGGGATGATTGAGTGCAATCAATTTGGCCAGACAAGTTGTCAAAAATATATGTATGATCGCATAGTACGATCAGAGTTCATACGGGATAATTAGAGACATGGATCTCATCCCGAGGAGATAGCCTGTATGACCTTTGACAAAAAAATTCATACAGTACGAATGGGTTTTTGTACAGTACGATCAATAATAAATGTTGTACAAACTAAAATTAATCATCTAGATTGCTACGTGTATCGTACATTACGAATTTTGTTCGTACCATATGATTGTAAATCATTGATGCAATCTGGACCATCCATTGAGCCAATGGTTAAGAAGAAAGTGGTGCTGTGCATATTGTATAATATGATTGTAGTTCATATAGTACGATATCAGATGAAATTTTCAATTTTGCAAGATAAGATAGTGAAGTGGATTATGTTGTGATCAGGACACAAACATTCAATAAAAGACTAAATACAAGAACAAAACTAAAACAAAAAATAAGTTAAGGACTAAACAAACAAAATAAAATCAAAAAAATTACATGACAACACAAACACAGAAACTAAAAAAATGTAAACAGAAACAAGCACAACAAAAATAAACAAAACATATATGTTGAGAAGCTCATGAATGGTTGATATCAAGTGATAGGATATAAATATTTAGCCTAAAAACCACATGCTCCCACTGAGTTTTTTTATGAGAGCCTTGAAATCCAAAGATTATAGAAGAATATTTTTGGGAGCCCAAATGAGTTTGGGTCCCTTCTTGAATTTCAATAAATCATCAAAATTTATGTCATGCTGTATTTGATGCAGCTTTGATCTCCACACTAAGTGTGTTCTATAATGAATAGTGCAAGGTAGCTAATGTATCCTAACATGCTACATTTTTTTTAGCAGGGGTGCACAGGCTCATGAAATAGTGCAATGCATGAGCGATGCCTAAGAACCCCTGTAGCAAGCCACTATGATGAGCTCTTCCCAAACAAAATTAATTTAATATCATAGTGGACCGATGGCCCACATATCAGATATTAAACTGATAAGATTAATATATACTACAATTGATCTTAGCCAAAAGGGTTAACTAACCTATGATATTTATGATTCCTATTTCTAGGTTTATGAGATGCATGACATGGTGAGTGCTTACAAACAGGTATATTTTGAAAAGCCTTTACTTTTTCTTAAAACATTTTATTAGCACTTTCAAGAGCCTTAAAGCAATGATGGTTTTGAGTCTTAAAGAATCGATTTTATAGAATGTGTTACAAAGAGGGATAGATCTATAATTAAAGATGTTGCTGGTATTTTGGCTCCATTGCTTAGCATATAGTATGTATGTGTATATATATATATACACATTTTTGGATAGATCAATACACATTTCTGGATAGATCTATAATTCCAAAAAGGGTCGCTGCAGCGAAAATTAGGAAAAGCAGTCCACCAATGTAGCCAACCTAATTCATAACAGATTTCTTCGGTTAATTAATATATATATATATATATATATTGAAAAAACAAATGGAAGTCCAATTACAGATTTAGGGTTTGTATGTTTCTACCAATTTTTCTGAAATGTAGTTGGCCAGAAAAGCTCCACCTAATATGGCAAAAGATGTTGCTATCAGGTGCCCGGCGATTGCTCCACAGGCAACACCCCAAGGAGACTACAGTGAATATTAAAATTTCAAGATCATATTTTTTAGATAATAGCACAGAAAAATGACCAAAATTACAAACAGATGAATTAACAGGGGCGGATCCAACCTTACTTTTCCGGGGGTAAACTTATAAGTAAAAGTGTAGAGTTTTTTTTTAAATAAATATCCTTGCAACAAAAATTTGTTCCAAGGACGCTGCCTCTCGACCCCTATTTGTTCATCGTTGTATTCTTCGCAGATATGTCAAGGATCCAAGGGGGCAGCGCCCTCTGATGGGTTCGACTTGCAGGGGTTTCCGGGGGAGCTACAAATTTTGGTTGTAAGAATATTTTTGGATTCGCTTTACTATTTCTCTTTGTATTTGATTCGTCTTTCCCTAACAATAACATCTCAACACAATGTGTTTAATTATGTGGGGGCAATTGCCTAAAGACCATAGTATTTTAAAATTTTTAGGAGGGCAATTGCCTAAAAACCTTTGTAATAAAGACTAAAAAATACATGGAGGGACAAATTAAATAAAGATTCATATAATAAAGAATTTTTTTTTACTTTTACGGGGGGAATTTTTTTTTTCTTTTTGGGGGGGGGGGGGGGCGCGGGCAATGAGCTTAAGGTGGATTCGCCCATGGATACATAACTCTATATACCTGTGCAGCTCCCAAGGCAATAGTAGCCAGCATTGAGCGATCACCCCATTCCTACAAAAAGATATAATATGCTTCTTATATTTAGTTAATAAACATAAGTTAATAAGAAATAGCTCAAGTGACATTCCCATTAGACTTTATAGAGAAGGCGATGGTTTAATACTCCAAAAAGAGAAAATAACATCTACAAACTGACCAGCTTCAAGTGAGAATTTTATCCTATCTTCGATTGTATTAGAGATTCACCAATAATGCTATTTGGAAGTGTGATATTCCAATGTAGCACTTAAATAAGCTGCTATTGATATGATATAAAACTAGGCAAGTTATGACTTACCGCAAAGAAAACAAGGCTGAAAGACTTCCAAATGATCTCAAGAGGACTTCTGAGATTTTTAGATGCCTGAAAAAAAAAAATCAAATAGGCCAGTTTACTACTATATTATTACAACCAACAAAAACATGCAGTGCTCAGAATTTTTGAAATTATGATATTGTATGGGAGTAATGCTAAACTAAGCTTTCTTTTTCTTTGTCTAGATCTATCTCTTAATGCTATCGAATCAAGATTTTTTTTGGGTGTAAGTTGGGAAATATAACATTCTTCATTGTATAATGCCACTATATAGATGAACAAAAATGCAAAAAACAATCACTAATCAGATATCTGCTCGGCATCATCATTTAAATAACTCATTTGATGTGACTGATTCTAGGAAAAAAATCATACACTGGGAAGCAAATGGGTTTAAATCTGAATTCGCAAGGAAAATCATCAATGTATCCCATTAAATGAGGGGCATTAATGATATGCTAGAATACAAAATTTGCAGCATTAAACCATTGAATTGATGAGAAATGATTAAAATAATTGAAAAGAATCATGTGTTTGTTATGTTAAATACTCCTGTATAGATGCATGACCATAAATATGTTTAAAATTGTTTCATGGAGTTATAAAGACACTTGGTTGGATCCATCCAAATGAAATGCCCTCTTATTGCAACCTAAAAAAAAAACCTTATGAAATATAAATTAAGCACAAAAAAACGTTACATTAGGAAGTTGATATTCAAACCCCGGAGTTGTAGTTACTTTGCCTCAAGTGTATTCTGGAAGTTGGTTCAAGTCATGGAAATAGCCTCTATAAATATATAGGTGAAGCTACATTCAACCACCCCTCTCCGGATCTTGCACTTGTGAGAACTCTATGCATTGCGTATGCCCCCATTGGCATACAAACAAAATTACAAAATAATGCAAAAACATTTTTTGATTTTCCTAAGCCAGAATCAATTGGTATGGTCTTTAAAAAATGATAAAAGCCCGCCGGACAGACAAAAAAGTTCAAAAGCCATTGAACGAAGTCGCTCCGGTCGAAATGGTTTGGATGCAGATGAGGATGAGGCGGTGGAGAAAAGTTCCAAGATTCAACCGCACTCCTGGTCAGATCTGGTCCAGATAAAAAAAAAAAAAAAAAAAAAACAAGCAAAAAAAAAAAAAAAAAAAAAAAAAAGACAAGCTCAACACAATCAAGCCAATCACTATTCATCTCCCCTAACATGGGAAGATCAAAATCAATCCTGGCTTCTCCCATAGCTCCCTCACAACGCCAGATTAGTCTACATCTTCATCCATGAAATCGCACTTGGTTTCCACATCCACATAGGACATCCTTCTTGCATATGTCCGGCAACTCTTGTCAACCACAACTTATTAATTATCTATGCATCCCGAGTTCCTCTGAATCTATAAATATCCTCATAAAAAAACTCAATAGGCTACAAGAAGATGATGAGATGCCGCTGAATTCTCTACACTCCAGTCAAGCACCAACGAGCCCTTTGGTTAACCTCTGCGTAGAGCTTCCTTGTCGTGAATATTCTCCTTCAATGTCATTGACCTGCTTTTAATCAACACTTCTTAAAGATATTTTATTTTCATCAATCAAGGAGTTACCTTGAGGGATTTATCAGCTTTGTCAATGCCAGGGACCCTTCTTTATAGCTGCAAATTGTTTGATTGGTTGTTATGCCCATTCATGGCTCGAGACAGGCCAGGACAAAACCTCAAACAACATTTGTTGGGCCTTACAACTCTTAGTCAATAATCATCTCTCAACTCAGTAAAAAGTGAACCTTGCTCATAAAATTAAATTGATTGCATCATCTCTCTATCCCACACCAAGTGACTTGATTAACATCTGCTCAGAGGTTCCATATCAGCAAGATTATCACGCGGTTGACATGTGATGAGTCCAGACAAAGCCACATGACTTTTAGATCTAGGCATACATATTTCTAATTAATATTTGTAATTATTAACTCTTCATAATAGATTTCAAAATTGCAGAAAGACCTAGGGGATTTTTACAATAAAGAAAAAGATTTTTTTAAATGCAAAAAGTACTTAAAACCATTAAAAATCTTAAAAATTCAAATAAAAAGCATAACAATCAATTTAGGTTCCTCTAAGATCCATTTTGTATTTCACCTTATTTTTTTAGAATTCTAAAAATAATTTATGGAATTCCTCATAAATTGAGGCAGTAAATTGCGGGTCTCCTACATTTCGCTTGCAAGTAAGCTGCTAGGTACATGCTCGGTACCGACTCAGTACCGCTCGGTACCGAGCGGTACATGCTCGGTACTGAGCGGTACATGCTCGATACCGCTCGATATCTTTCCATACAAACAACTTACAAACTTTAAAAACAACCAGAATTTCAAAATTACTCTTACAATAAAATTTTGTTCTGGGGGAAGCGCCCCCTTGGATCCCCGGCAGATCGGTATATTGTTGTATTCATGTTGTCTTATTATTGGTAGTACAAATAATTGTTAAAATCTATCCTATTATTTTATTTTTAAGTGAGTTTATTTTAAATATTCTTTTTCAGTAATATATTAATATTATCTTAGAACAAATCATCAAATTTACAATTGACATAATAGTTTGTCATTTTTTGTCATTATTCATAATTTTAAATTACTTTATTTTTATCATTTGAGGCTTACGCCTCGATCAGCCTCGATGCTTACGCCTCGATCAGCCTCGAGGCTTACGCCTCGATCAGCTAGCCAAAACACCTCGACTCCCGATTTCGCCTTTTAAAACGTTGATAGAAACACATGTACTTAGGATTGTCCCCGTCACGCTAAAAATAACATGTACAGGGCCTACCCGAATGGCCGCAAGCATCGCACCGGGCTTCCTCCCACCATGCTAAGAAAAGCGTGTATAGGTGGTCCCCCAGCGCGCCATGAGATCCAAAAGTGGGATTTGAAGATTTTGGATTTAGGAATCATTTATACTTTGCAAGGGGGTCGACAGTGGTAATGTCGAGGCCGGGGGCATGAGGATCGAGAAAAACTTCTCTTTTCCCTCTTTTCTTTTTCCCTTTTTTTGAGGAAGCATTCGATACAGTAAGAAGTTGGATCCAACGGGCTGAAGATATCAGCGGAACTGTAGTGAAACCACAGAATTCAATATAGCATCCTTTGGATGAGAGATTCGGTGATAGCGGCTATAGAAAGATCGGCTGAAGGAATTTGGGATTTTCACTTAACATTGGAAGTTCTTTTCACATAGGACCTTAAGGGTTGAGTGCAGCGGCATAGTGAAAAGTGCTGAGGAAACATTTAGGCTTGCTTTGTGAATGTGATACCAAGTAAGGTAAGCAATTAGATTTCAACAGAGTTAATAAGTTTAATTACTGTAATGAAATTTTCTTATCTCTTTGAGATATTGCTTTTGACAGTTGAACTAAAGGAAAATAGAGATTTTGGGAAGTTAGAATTGAAGAAGACTAAATTATAGAAGATAGAAAAAGGTAAGAATTCTAAATTTCCCTTATCTTTTATACTAGTTCAATTTAGTATAGTTCTTATGCAAATCATAATTTACGGTAATATAGATTATATAAGCTTATGCAAAGAGGAGGCTTTGAAGTGACTTATAATAGAAGAAGAATAAGAAGTGAAGGTTTGGAAGAAGCAAACCGTCAAGAAGGTAAGTAATGCTAAATTAATGTGTAAAGAAATTTATGTATTATGATTAATTTATTTTCTTTGTTGGAATGTTTTATCCAAGCTTTTGAATATGATCTATTGTTACCTTTGTTATATCATGAAAGTTTAATTAAGATTGGTATAATCATTTAAATGGTTCTATGTAAGAATGTAAAGCTTTAGAAAATTTCCATATTAATTCTATACAAGTGATATCATGAATGATAATGAAGGTAGATGTAATTGATAATTATGAAAGAAGTTTTCTTTTAACTTTTAATCAATCATATTCTTCCTACAACAAATGTATGGTTATATGCATAATGGAAGGATTATAACCAGTGCAATAAGTGTAAACTATGAATGTATGAATTTTTAATATACAATTAAGTTAAAGATTGGCTAACCTATGATATGATGTATGTCTACAATATCAGGTGGGCAAAAGGGACCCAAATATGAACCTGTATTGTAGGTGGGGCAAAAGGGACCCCAAGAGAAAAGATACCTGCATAGCAGGTGGGGCAAAAGGGACCCCTAAGGAGGCAAAAGGGACCTCAATGAAATTCAATGGAGATAATGCCAGGTTTTCCTGGGCTCCATTGAATAAGGTTACGAAAGGATAGCCAAGTCTTTTACTAATGGAATTTGATATTCAATGGAAACTTCAATAAAGTAAAGAGTAATGCTAATAAATGTTTATGAGACTTTTACTAGTAGAAGTAAGTTTAATCATGGATGACTTTCATGTTTTGAGTTATTCTTTTGGATTATTCTTCTTATTGTATTATATTGTTAACTTAATTTGCATAGCTTACTGAGCCTCATAGCTCACCAGTTACTTATTACTGGCTGTTGTTACAGGAAAAGGAAAGGAACAAGAGGTTGCTGACTAGGATCAAGTATTACAATCAAATATGTTAGTTCTATTTATGTTTGTAAAACTAAAGTAGAGGTATGTTAAAAATTCCCTAATATGGTTGTTTGGGATTTTCTGTAGTGGCTCTGTAATTATATATTATGGATGTTTAAGACTTTTAAGTGCTTCCATTGATGTGTTCACTAAGGTTGATGAGATGTTTTAATTGATATGGAAATGATTGTTCTGAAAAATGTTATATCAGGAAAACTGATATGTTTAGTTATCTGTTACACTCTACTGTATTAGTCAGGGATACTATGGGGTGTCACAGTTCTAAACCAAACAATTATTCAAGTTTACCTTACCCTATCAGGCAAAAATTTTTCTCTTATTCAAACACTATGAGAACTTGAAAAACACCTAAAAATCACTTAGTTTTCTTTTAATACAATGATAAATCATTCCACCCCAAAAGTTGGAATGCATATTTCATTGGATCTTAGGATACTGTGAGCAACAGGCTTGCCTCAAAGCAAGTAGGGATTACTGTATGGAGTTTTTCATAAACTTCCTAAATATGAGATCTTAAAAAATCAAATAAAAGATATAAGTCACAAATAATTCAAAGTGGAACCACATATGGATAAAAATTAAATATCTGCCATTACACAATAAAATAAGACACCACTTGCACTATGCATACCACACAACCACACACATTTAGACGCATAGCCCCTAGGCATCCTAGGATTAGGATTTTTTTCTTTTCTGCGCATGTGAATGTTATATTTGGAGTAATGATTATTAGATTATATTTGTTGTGAGCACTGGCCCTTAAGTGGTTAGGATATATATATATATATATAAGTGGTCATATCCAAAATGGGTACAAATCATGATTATTTAATGTTGTTTGTTTGCAAGCACTGCTTAAAAATCCCATAGAGGGAAGGCATATAGAATAGAAACAGGTTTGGCACTCTAAGTGCCGGGCATATTTGTGATGTTTTTTTCATATAAAATTCCTTTCTAATCTCTTATGTTTTGCGGGGTTTTTTTTTTCATTTTAAATATAATTAATAAACTTATGAAGTTATTTGGACTTGTGGGGTATAGTTACACGAGTGATACACAAAAAAGATAAACCTCATAGCTGAAGCTTTGGATGGTCTAGAAGTCCAAGCTTAAAGACTCACAAGACGAGTTTGTAATTATTACTAGATTGTATAAGACAAACAACACAATTGCAATTTTTACAATATTTCCTAAATTGTAATAATTTGGACATTACTTTTTATTTGGTTAATTCATATTTATACATGTGATAGATTGTTCTCTTAGTACGCATTAGAAATGTATGTTTTTTCTTAGGTTTTTTGCTTTGAGTGGGAGTAGTTTGGAATTATTATGCAATAGCCTATTAAGATAAAATTAATTTTTGTACTAATTAACATGTAAGCAATTTAAAATCAACCATAGGTAACCAAATTTTCAAATAAAAAACTTGCAAGCTCACTCTAATAAGCCAAGTTCAAAACAAAATAATTAAGTCTCGTATAGAAAGCCCTCATATTAAGGATTAGATAACAAATAAATTTGTATTCAGTGAGTCAGCAATCACATACATACATAGTCAGGCACCTTGGCCTAAGAGCCAAGTTATAAGCACTATCTTTTAAATCAAAACAACCCTCCCTATCCTTCATATGCATTGAAACCGAATTTCATGATTTTAAAAGCATTTAGATGAGTTAGCTGGCAGCCATTTCCACATAGGATTGTAAATCCAAAGGTCAAGCTGGCTTAGTCTCAGGTGGGTGTAAGTTTGTAAGTCTAAAGATCAGTTTGACTTAGTCTCAAGTAAGGTGTTTGTGATATAGGTTCAATGTATTAATCCTCAGTAGTCCTCACTTAAATCTATGATCTGAGGCTGATGTTGACTCCAACCACCTCATAAGCTTCATTTTGGGCATTTCCTTCAATTTATGTTATTGGAATATAAGTCCTAACTTTTTAAATGAAATTGATCAACTCAAATAAAAATCTAATTTTAAAATGTAAAGTTCGATATAAAACAATTTTAGCACCTCTGAGTTTTTAAGAATCAAGTACTCCTATATTTTCCTCCTTTTGACTTCCATTTTAAAAAAATTTGACTTAAAGTTGACCATATCTCCCTTGATATTTCCAAGGACCAAATTTTCAAACAAAAATTTCTCAAAAAAAAAAAAAAAAGAAAATATTAGCTAATAGTTTAATGACTATAAAGAAATTACTAGTTTAATCAAAAGTATTCTCAAGTAACAAATGCTTAAGATGTAATTAATAATAGAGGCTTACCCCTATGAGGCATCAGTATCCTAGAATAAAATAAACTCTAGTCAACCAAATATTAAATAGGAGAAAATCTCTATTAAAAATATAATATTGTGAGTTTTCTTATTGAGTTCATAGTGAAAAAATATTTTTGCTCTTCGGGATAATATATTATTTTTAATATCGTACTCAATCACAAAATATCTCAATTCGTTGAGGATAAAACTAAAATTTCACCCACACATATAGGTATACATTTAATACTTATTCATTTATGAGTTTATTTATTAACTCATTTAAATACACTTTTGATTAATTTAGACAAGCCAAATGAAAGGCAAGTTTGATCATAGATAATTCTAAGCAAGGCAATTATAAACACATAGGTGAATGCTCAACTTGAGCTTGTGCCAAACTTGAACTTGAAGTATGACCAAGTAACATCTAATCCATGGTATGCTCAGCTTGACTCAACTACAACCCTACTAATTAATCATAAAGGCTTGTCATTGAAGTGTCAATCCCAAGAACTAAAGAACCCATAGGGTCCTTCTGGGAGAAATCTAGTAATATTAATATGCTGCATATCTTCCTCCTAAGAAAATTCAAACATTCCTTCATCAAGAACTCAACTGTGAGAGCTCCTTTTGCTCAAGCTCATATGCAAACAATGGGGAAATCATAGGGTGATCAAAGGTGGCTCTCACGCCAAATTGGGTTTCATCCAAAGTGTAAAGTGATTTGTATGGATGTTATCCACTTTCATCCTAAAGTCTTTTTAGAAAAAATCATTCCCCCAAATAATAATAATAATAATAATAAAATAAATAAATAAATAAAATTCCCTTGAAATTCATATTCCACCATTGTATACAAAACAAGAAAAAAGCCACATTCAAACAATCATGCATTACTATTTCATCGCAAGTCCATCAAAATATGATAGTGCAAGATGTACTAATAGGACTAATAGATTATGGAAATACGCTATAAGTTAATCTAGCCGTCCTAAAAGCACAATTATGAAACATCCTTAATCTGACAGGACGACATTCATGCTTCTTGGTATAATTTTTATAAATAAACTAATGAATACAAACCTCTTCTTTAACAAGCTCCACAGCTTCAACAAGCTCACCGAGTTCTGGAGCTGCTCCACGATTCTTATCCACGTTTGATGGAAGTTCCCAAGCATCTTTTATTGACTTTAAACCAAAGAATGCAAGAAGTGCTACTGCAGCATACTCTCCAATGGGTAATGCTGAAGGAAATATTCAACATTTACTAGAAATAGTTAAACAACGCATCTTTATTGATTAAATTAAATCTTTGATTATCATTCTAAGAAAAATGAAGAAAAGGCAACCTTTATCAGATCAGATGCAACCCAATTAAGTAAAAATGGTAAATTAAACAACAGCAATGTAATTCACATCTTCCTCAAAATTACATATCTGGCCAAGAGAAGAAGCATAAATATCATCATCAAGTTTTGTCCAAACTATCAAACACCGTCTTTAAGCCAATGCAGATAGATAAAATGGCTTGCCTCACCCTGTTTGTTCAATGTTATCAAAGCTATAGAAGTTGGACAATCTTGTTAGGTCAGTTCACCCAATAACTAACAGTAACATGGTCTAGTTATACCATAGGAGCTGTTAGGTAGTGGGATTTACGCAGGATTTGCATTAATCCTACCAAACAGTACATACTATTTTAAATCCTGCATAATCTTAAATCATTATAGTTTTTAAAAAAAATAAAACCTTAAATCTTAGATTTAGTAAAACCTCGCATTGGGCAAATTTTACAAATCTCAAAGCCTCAATCTTCTTTTGACGTCCCTGTCCACATCAATGTCTTCTTTAGCAAGCTCTTATCATGATTTCTTTGACATTGAGGGTTTCGAGAATTGGAGGGATGGGATTTAGGGGAGAAAGACAATGCTTTCTTATATATAAATTAACAAAAATTAAATAATAAATACAACAAACTACATCAAGCCTTTATCTGATGTACACAAAGAGGGGGTCAACACTAGTTCAAAATAAATCAAATTTTGACTTCCCTTGAGTCTACTAGCTCAATCTATTTGAGCTGAAATTTTAGCTCATTTATGAGCTGGTCTTTAGTTCATTTATTGAACTAAGGGTTAGCTCATTATTAGCTAATATTTTAGTTCATTTATTATCTTACTTTTTATTAAATGTTATTTAGTTTTTAATGTTTCTTTTTATGGTGTCTCTTGGGTTTCCAAAAAGGGCTTTTGGAATCCCAAGATAGTTGTTTAGTCTTCTCATGTGTGGCTCCTTGAATTCCACCATGGTTTTATTGCTCTCACCCCATGAGATTCCGGCCGGCCGCTGGTTTTCCCGTGCCTGGGCTCTTTCCCGAGGCCATGGCCCCTTGGTTCCGTGTGGCTTCCTCGTCTCCCGTGGTTGCCTCTTCGGTTCCTTGACTTGGGTGTGTTTTTTCATGCAAAGCATTAGTGTTTTAATTAATTGTGTTGTTTAAAATTCCTATGGGAATTTAATGTTAGTGTCTCTTAGTATTCCTCTTTCATACCTATATATATGGGAGGATTTGTAATGTTTGAAGTTAGTTGATGAATGATAAGTTATTTTTGGAAGCTTTAACCTGTGGGTTTGCTTTGGAAATCCTGCGGGCTCTTTCCACCCTTCTTTCTCATCCCCTCCGGAAATTTCGTCTCTCCGCAAGTGCCACTCCACCTGTATCTTTCTTCCACGTACCACGTTTTTATCGGCAGAAGATTGTTTGAGAATGAATCCTAGTGATATTTTTGACTAGACATTTGGCTCTTTGTGAGCTGAAGTTATATTTGAATTTGTCCACCTCGATAAACTTTTAGCGGAGGGTGGATGAAGTTTGCTTTAAGTGTTTTGATGATTGATTTCAAATTTAAATATCTTAGAGCTTGATGATTTTTGGATTTTTTTGTGGAATTTAGATTTAGTATAAATTTTAGACATTTTGAAATATATGAGAGATTAACCCCTCCGGTTGAGATTCACATTCAACATGACCATCATCGGGGTGTGGGGTCATTTTTATTTGTAATTTGAACCTTGTCAACTCTGTCTGAATGTCGACAGAGGATCGTGTTTCGTAGGCTTTATGCCTTTGTGAGTGAATTCTATTGATTTTAAGCTTTGAAGGCCTGGTATGAATGTATTAAAACAAATACACCGGTCGCCACAATCATGTATTTGTTCGAAGGTTCGAACCCTATCGACTCCTATTGATTCGTATATAAGGATCGGGTTCGAACTTGAATTCACTTATCGACACGCGCAGCATCCCTAGGCGTCACGTGTGTATCAATAACACGCTCGCCGGGGCCCATGCGGGTCGAGATCATATTTTCCCCTTTAGTGTACCTATGTGTATACAAACTACTGTGTACGTGCGGGGGTACTTTGAAATAATTGTAGTTGTGCAGCTAACTGTCATTTGAGTGCACACAACTTTTCATTTGAGAGCTTGTACACGCCTTCTATCCGCTAGTACGAGTGTTGCAGATCCGGTGGCGGATTGTAACAACTTATGGATTGAATTGTTTGCTGCTTTGTACAGGTAGACTGTCGTGCACTAATTGCATGATATGTGCAGATAGATTATATTGCACTAACTAATCTCCTGCTTTTGGCTCGTAGGAGATTGCTGTGTTTGATTTGTGGACCGTCGCATTTACGTGTGTCTTCTAGTATTAGTAAGGACTGCCACGCATATCCACCAGATAGTCAACCTCGGTAGTAGGAGCTTTCCTATGACTTGTATAGACCTTTATACATTGACTTCCATTATTTGCATGCATTTTGTAGTACCATTTAGAGACATTGCATATTTGTTTGAAATCAAATCTCCTCTTATTTTATTGTTTGCAAAGTTGAATATAGTTGCTTGTACTTCGATGTTGATTATAGGCGAAAAGTTGAATATGCCACGGTTCTTCTATCGATGTCTTTGGTGGGTTCATCGAATCCACTATACAATCATTATATATTCTTTATGTTTCCTTCATGAATACATCGGGATGTTCGTTACAACCACCACACCCCAACCACAAGCATGATTGTTGTTGTATTTGCCACCATCTTCTTGTCACTTACAAATGAGTTGAACGTGCAGGTTCTTTGTCTCCAAAGATGGTTCATAACAAGTATAATAAGCTTCACACTCATCATTTATTTGATATTCATTCCTTATCTAGCATGAAGACTTTCATCACTTGTGGGAAACTTTAGATGTAGGCATATTGCCATATCGCTCACTTTGGTTGAAAAATTTGAATCACTTTAGTTTATCATTCATTGTTCATGAGATAACTTTCATTTGGATGGTTGAACTCTTGTTGACTTATGATTTGCATCTTTTTTTTGTTGTATCTCTTTGGAGTAGGATTGTTGTTGATGATAGGGATGCAGGAGTTTCTTAGCCCACCACGAATCTATGTTTTCATCTCAATGTTCTTTCAAATGCATTTGAAAAATTAAAGTTATCACTTGATTTTGATGTTGATTAGAAAGATCTATATCTTTAGCATTTGTGTTGGTTTGATTGGGTACTTGCTAAGTTAAAGTCTCATTCGATGTGATTCATTTTCAAGTTCAACTTTGTTGTCAAATTTGAGTCCCTTGCTGTTCAAGTCTTGTTCAAGTTTTACTTTTTGTTCAAGTCCTCAATATTTTCAAATAAAAATTCGACAGCACTCCAGCGTCGTCCCCGCGTAGGGGGCTACATCAGAGTGTGTAAGGCCTTCCCGCCTGCCAAGAAAGGCAGTCACGGTAGGTGTCGGGTGACACCGCGGCCACAGTTTCAATCCCCGCTCGCTAAAAAAAGCGGTCACAGGGTCTTTTAGCACAGGTTTAAAATATGACATTTTCCCCGCCTAAAAGCAATGACGGGTACTTAATTAAATAATTTTGCTACAAATAACAAATTTCCCCACCTGCTAAGAAAAGCAATAACGGGTACTTATATTTTCATGCATACGAATTTTCCCGCTCGCTCAGTGCGTCACGGGCACTTAAGTTTTTCCTCGCCCACTAAGAAAAACAGTCACGAGTACTTATTTCATACATAGAAATGTAAATACTAATTTTTACCTTGGGTATGCAGCAATCGAGGCGGCGACGGCGGATGACGACGACGTAGGAACCTGCGATACATAATTAAAAAAAAATTTACTTGTGCAATTTAATTAATCATATTTTTTTTTAGAAAAGAAGCCAGAGAGAGAAAGAAAAGGAAGAGAGCTCTCTTTCTAGAGAGAGAAAGAGAGGGAAAGAAAGGATTTTTTGGTTGAAGGGGTTTAGGATGTGTAGGAAATTGGGGGAGTGAGGTTAGATAGAGAAAATCTCTCTTTTTCTAATTTTTGGAGAGAGAAAGAGAGAAGGAAACTCTCTTTCTAGAGAGAGAAAGAGAGGGGAAAGATGGAATTTGAAGGGAATTTGCGTAGAGAAGGTTTAGGAGGTGCAAGGAAGTGAGAGGAGAGATTTAGAGAGAGAAAATCTCTCTCTTCTCAATTTTGGAGAGAGAAAGAGAGAGTGTGTAATTTCTCTCTCTCTAGGAAAGGAATTTGGAGGTATGGTGGAGAGGGAAGATGCTTGGGGTGGAGATGGAGCTATTCATGAAGAGATTTCACTCTCATTCTAGAGAGAGAAAATTTTCTCTCTCTAGGTTAAAGAGAAAATTTTCTCTCTCTAGGTTAGAGAGAAAGTGATGGATGATTTTTTTTTTGTTGGAATGGTGTAGGAAGTCTGTAAGAACATTTTTTGTGAAGAGATGTAGGTGAGTTAGTGAGTGGAAGTGGAGATATGAAGAATTAGGGTTAGGGTTTGGTGTATGTCTTGAGAAAGAGAGGTTGGAGGAGGAAGAAGAAGATGAAGGAGAGGAAGGAGAAGCGAGGGGAAGAGAAAAATGGAAGTAAATGAAAGGAAATATGGAGGGATGAAGAAAGAAAAAGAAAAATGGGGAAGAGGAAGAAGAGGGAAGGAAGAAGAAGAAGGGGGAGAATGGAGAATGGAGGAGGAGGAAGAAGAAGAAGAAGAAGAATGGAGGAAGGAGAAGAAGAAATGAGGAGAGATTTTTATCTTGGAGAGCTTGGAGGGAAAGGAGAGGCCGGCGGCTCCTTGGCGTGAGGAAGAGCGTGAGATGAGAGGAGGGATCGTGGATTTGGCGGTTTGGAGAGTGAGGAGGGTTATGAGGTTAAGTGGGGATATATTAGGGATTTTGGAATTT